GGACGCGCGCTAACCAGGCCAATTGCAGTCGCTGAAGGAGACCTTCGCCAACAAGCTGCCCGGCGAGATCGAGAAGATCAAGAAGCTCCGCAAGTACGTGCTGCCGGCCCCGCGCCCACCCCAGTGCACCGCTGACATCATATCCCAGGGAGCACGGCAACACTGTTGTCGGTGAGGTCACTCTCGACCAGGTCTACGGTGGTGCCCGTGGCATCAAGTCGCTCGTCTGGGAGGGATCCGTCCTCGACTCTGAGGAGGGCATCCGTTTCCGCGGCAAGACCATCCCCGAATGCCAGGAGCTCCTCCCCAAGGCCCCCGGCGGCCAGGAGCCTCTCCCCGAAGGTCTCTTCTGGCTCCTCCTCACCGGCGAGGTCCCCTCCGAACAGCAGGTCCGCGACCTCTCTGCTGAGTGGGCTGCCCGCTCCGATGTCCCCAAGTTCGTCGAGGAGCTTATCGACCGCTGCCCTAGCGACCTCCACCCCATGGCCCAGTTCTCTCTCGCCGTCACTGCTCTCGAGCACGAGTCCAACTTCGCCAAGGCCTACGCCAAGGGCATGCACAAGTCGCAGTACTGGGAGCACACCTTTGAGGACGCCATGGACCTCATCGCGAAGCTCCCCACCCTCGCCGCCAAGATCTACCGCAACATCTACAAGGACGGCAAGGTTGCTCCCATCCAGAAGGACAAGGACTACTCCTTCAACTTGGCCAACCAGCTCGGTTTCTCCGAGAACAAGGACTTCGTTGAGCTGATGCGCCTGTACCTCACCATCCACACCGACCACGAGGGTGGAAACGTCAGCGCCCACACCACCCACTTGGTTGGTTCTGCTCTCAGCTCTCCTTACCTGTCCCTGGCTGCTGGTCTGAACGGTCTTGCTGGTCCTCTCCACGGACTGGCCAACCAGGAAGTCCTTGTCTGGCTCCAGAAGATGAAGAAGGCTATCGGCAACGACCTCAGCGACCAGGCCATCAAGGACTACCTGTGGTCCACCCTCAAGGCTGGCCAAGTCGTTCCCGGTTACGGACACGCCGTTCTCCGCAAGACCGACCCCCGCTACGTCTCCCAGCGCGAGTTCGCCCAGAAGCACCTTCCCGACGACCCAATGTTCAAGCTCGTCAGCCAGGTCTACAAGATTGCCCCCGGTGTTCTCACCGAGCACGGCAAGACCAAGAACCCCTACCCCAACGTCGACGCCCACTCCGGTGTCCTCCTCCAGTACTACGGTCTCACTGAGCAGAACTACTACACTGTTCTCTTCGGTGTGTCCCGCGCGCTCGGTGTCCTTCCCCAGCTCATCATTGACCGTGCCGTCGGTGCCCCCATCGAGAGGCCCAAGTCTTTCAGCACTGAGGCTTACGCCAAGTTGGTTGGTGCTAAGTTGTAAGCGCGTTACTGCAACGTGCTCTACGGCCAGGAGAATGTGGAGGAATTTGTTTAACATTCAGAGATACCTTGTCCTGTGTAGAATTGCAATGTAAGGATAGGGAATGGGAGCGTTACGGCGCTACATCACTACATTTTAGTGAACGAATTGCTGTATTCTCACGTCTTGATGATCAGAAATCTACGCTCCATGAAGTTCATACTATGTGTCTGTTGCGATGAAGCCGTCGTGAGTGCCTTCGGGCCATTTTCAGGTGTATGAGATTGGCCCAATCGCATCGGCGCAAAAAAGCAACGAACGGTGAGATAAGTAACCGGGATATTCGGAGCGTGGGTAGCTTTCGTTGAGCGATGGGGAACCGATGCGGATCGTTGAGCTCTCCAGTGCGACCCGACGCCAATCCGACCCAACAATTCGCTGTTCAGGTGGTGTATTACATAGCTGTACATGGAATCGCAAAAGCAAACACGAGCATACTTGTAATAGAGAAAGTGACTTTCGGAGAGTACTTGGAGGCAAAAGCAATGCTAGACCCCTCGCCCGGTACATGGCCGCGGATGGGAAGCAGCTGCGGGACATGGCCCTTCCGCCAAGCGGCCGATAGCCTCAGGGACAACCCCAATTATAGCGCGCCCGGACGGCGGTCAACCAGCAACACAGACCACCTCGCAAGCTTATACCGTTTTTCTATGCATCCCTTTCCTCGCTTTGCTCACACACTTGATACTACTCACATTTGCGACGGAGCACCCTTTTGCCTTGGTCAGGCCGCATATCTTCGACAAGAGAATCCCAGAGAATGAGCTCCACACCTGCGACGGGCGTCCCCAGCATGGCGAGGAACGGCCCGCCATCGCTCGAGAAGAAGCCGGTCAAGTTTAGCAATCTGTTGCGTGAGTCTGCGTGCTGATAGAGAGCGGGAATGTGTGCTGACTGTAGGCGCAGTTGGTGCTGGTCTCAACATGTTTGAGTAAGTAAACATCCCACTTCACCACCAAGATAGCAATTGGAGCTGACTGAAGATGACAGAGTGACAACTCTGGGACAGGTATGCAATTTCAGGCAACAAACTTCGCCGGAAGCACACTAACGACCGATGATAGCCGTTGGAGGTCGTCAAGACTACCATGGCTGCCAACAGGTCTGAAGGCTTCTCGGGAGCCATTGGTCGCATCTGGGCGCGTGGAGGTGTTCTTGGCTGTCAGTATGCACTCTACAGTTTCCAGACAATCCCACTAACAATCGTACAGTCTACCAGGGTCTCATTCCATGGGCCTGGATCGAAGCCTCCACCAAAGGAGCCGTCCTTCTCTTCGTCGCTTCCGAAGCCGAATACTACGCCAAGTCATTCGGCGCCCCCGACTTTCTCGCCGGTATCTCTGGTGGTATGACGGGTGGTCTCGCTCAAGCCTATGCCACCATGGGTTTCTGCACTTGCATGAAGACGGTCGAGATTACAAAGCACAAGGTCGCAGCCACCGGTGCGAAGCCCCCGGGTACGCTCGAGACATTCATGGGCATCTGGCGCGCGGAGGGTCTCCGCGGTATCAACCGTGGTGTCAACGCCGTCGCGGTGCGCCAGGTCACCAACTGGGGATCCCGCTTCGGTCTGTCTCGTGTTGCGGAAACCGGTATTCGCAAGGTTATGGACAAGCAGCACGGCGAGAAGCTCAGCGTGATTGAGAAGATCACCGCTTCAGCTCTCGGTGGTGGTTTGAGCGCGTGGAACCAGCCTATTGAGGTTATCCGCGTGGAGCTTCAGTCCAAGACTGTTGACCCCAACCGCCCCAAGAACCTGAATGTTGCATCTGCGTTCAAGTACATCTACTCGAACAACGGTATCAAGGGTCTGTACCGTGGCGTTACTCCTAGAATCGGTCTTGGCGTTTGGCAGACGGTCTGCATGGTTGCTCTGGGTGATGTGTAAGTTTTAGCGATACCGCTCTTCAAATCTTCGCTAACGAATCTCTAGTGCCAAGGAGGCTGTTGAGAAGCTCACTGGCGACAAGGTCACCGCAAAGCATTAGACGGCGTTCGGATACTGGATCTAACGGGGTTGATGTTCTATCAATGATCTATGCAAGTGGTCTGGCATCAGCTGTGGTCTTGGGATGAGAAAGCATGACGGGGGACATATATGACTATGACGTTCATAGCGCTATAAGATTATAATACTCAACACACTGAAAGTCTCGTGACATTAAGGCTTATTTTCAACCGCTCGTTCCATGTGAGAAACCATGTATATTGTGAAATGTTTTCCGTGGTCGTTCCTTCCTATTATACTTGGGCAGTGGTGAATGCACTAGCATGTGGTACAATTCCGACCATGCCCTAGGTGCCAGGTGCCTACCTAGGTAGGATGGCGCTAGCTCACGTCATAACCAACCACCACCAGCTCTCTCTCTCGCCCACCACACGACACAAACTTCGCATTTTGAATACCGCCTTTGGAGCAAGAATGCGGTATCTACCATGTCCCCACATATCGCCTGTATACCAACGGGTGATCATCGCGGAGAAAAACGGGTGAGTTACTTGTATCCTTAAACACGGCCTACTGGGTTGCTGGGAGCACGACAAGAGCTTGAAGTGGCCTCAAAGCGCAACAAACAGTCACACACTTCATATTCAGAATCTGCCGATTCATTGATAATCAAATCTCTGATTTTGCCGCTGACCCAGGGTAGTTCGCCGATGGAGACGCGCCTCCAGATTTGCGAGATTGGCGTTGCGACTTGACGGGCCTTTCGCATCAACATAATCTCTACTTTCTTGCCTCTGTCGATGAGCTTCATGTCTATCAACCAAGCTTTCCAGACCAAGGTTTATCTGATAAACCTGAGCTTGTGTTACATCCGCCAAAATCTGGCACTCGTGGGTATGGAATTGACCCGTCGAACCCTCACTCTATCTGTCGCATCTTGGTCGATTATGTCGGCAACGAGGAGATGCTTATGCTGGCCTGCGACGATGGGGACGTTATTATATATCGAACTCGAGAGATACACCGAGCGTTGGAACGGCGCACCAACGTGCAGGAGCCTGCTGACGAGGACGGTGTCCATGTGTTTCTCCACTGCAATGTCGGTAGAAGTGCATGGGGCTTGGCTGTACAGCGCAAGAGTCGTATGATCGCGATTAGTGCGGTATGACAACCTTGATTTCTCACACGCTCTACTCCTCTAACCTCAACAGAACACTCATCAGATAACGATAGTCGCATTCGCGCTCGCTTCCGATAGCGAATTGGAAGCCCCAGACCACGGTACCAACCCTGGTTTCCCACACAGCAGAAGAGAGGACAGTATCTTTACCCTTCAAGCGACAAACAATGTTCCCGCAGTATCATTCTACGGTGACTCCGGTCGCTGGCTTCTGAGCAGCTGCATTGATGGCAAGACATCGATGTGGGATTTGTACACCAAGAAAGAGGTGGCTACATTCCAGTTAGGCTGGTGCGCCAGCGCAAGCGATCTCTCGAAGCCGCCTCGTTACATATCTCACAGATTCCTGTGCGACTGTCCGGGCGCGCAAAATGTTCTCCACGGGGCATGGGGTACTATAGCGCTGGACACGCGATCCGCATACGAGTTACCGTTAGATGAAGGCATGACTGCGAGTTCGACATGTAGCTCGAGCGACTTCCTAGATATCTCCGACCAGAAGAAACGGTTCAAAGTTTCCGAAACCACCTCTCATCAATACCATCCCGACACAGACGACGAAGAGGACAGTACAGATGACGAAGAAATCGAAGTAGTCAGTGAAGCGAACGAGACAGACAACGACGAAGAAGATATTGATCCGAATCACCAGCTTCTCGGAATGACCTTTGAGGAGTTGGCTCAATCTGTAAGTGTAGTCTCTACTGTACCTTTTGCAACATATAAAGCAATCTCTTGTCGGCTGTATCCAATTAGAACGTAGCCAGAGGGTATAGCCACGCCAACCTGGGGAAAAACTGAACATCCTGGAGCCTACGTTGATGTTGGGTCACCTACTTTGCATGGTTTTGGGTCTATGTAGTCTGCAGACCTGTTCGAATTTTTTCTTGTATGAGGTGCAGCATTACGAGGAGCAAATCTCCTCTTCGTTCATATTTGAAGTTAAAGACACGTTAGGTGACTAACATACAGCGCAGTTTGGTATAAGTGAGACGCTGTTGTCTTCCATTCGACCCGGAACATTGCGCAGCCCTAACAGAGCGCCGTATCGCCTGATTGATGACTTGAGACCCATCGCAGAACCGATGGGTGGCCCATTCTTAATCTTCACCAAAGAGGACATATTCCTCATCCAAGGCCTTTCCGCAACATCACTCAATGTGCCTCTCAAGCCCATCGTCGCGATAAGACGACCGCTACATCCAGAGCGATGGGTAGACTCCCTCATGTCTTGCGACCGACACTGCTTCTTCTCCCAGATACCCGAGCTGGGCATCTTCATAGTCGGATCTCCGGCCGGTCGTGTCGGCGTCTTCAGTCTGTACTATACTAGAGACAAGAACACTGGGGAGCCGTGGTATGGCTTCAAACTTGAATACCTTCTGCCGTTTCGGTCAGGCAATGAGACGGAGATAGCGGGAGGGCCGAACGAACGGCTGCTTGGTGTAGCTGTCGCGCCTATGCAAGGTAAGATGATGATGATGATGACTACTTCCACGTGTATCGTAGGGCTCACAGGTATACAGGCATGTTTGACCCTTCAGAAGATATCGAAGTACTGGATCAACGGGGCTTGCTTTCCCTCCAGCCTCGCCGATGGCGCTTGTTGATGTACTACATGGATCATACTGTATTGAGCTTTGAGTTGTCAAAGCGGAGGATGGGCGAGTCGCCAAGCTTGGGTGATATGGTCGTTTAGCACCTCAACCTAGGGAAATTCAAACAGGTCTGCAGCCTACATCAATTTGAAAACATGAAAAGTAGGTGACCTAACGTCAATGTAGGCTCCAGGCTTGTTCGGTTTTTTGCTTGTATGAGTCTCTGGTATCGATTGTATGAGCACATGCTACGTACTTTCCCGCTGGGTATCATCCAATGCCCTCGTGGAGCCAAATCAAATTCACATTACGGCCGCTATTCTTCTAGCCTCAGATACACTTCCAGCACCCTTCTGCTAGCTCTAACCGCCAACCTCTCCGTTGTCAAATCCTCGCTTTCCTCATCGTCGTCCGTCTCATCAGCTTCAGTCTGCTCAATCATGCTCTTCAGTTTGTCCGCCGTCACGCCATCAGCTGGTACACCTTTCTTGAGTAACCTCTTCACATTATCCTTGATGCGCGCATCGTTCGTACATAGATACAACGTCTCAAGACGCGCAAAGGGACGCAGATATGGTCCAATAAGCGCATACGAGTCCAGGCCGGAGTACGAGATGACGAGGCGTTGAATATGGGATAGACTGATCGGCGGCAGGATAGAAGACAGCGTTTGCAGACGAAGCGTCTCAGTGGTATTGCAAGCAGCTGTGAATCTCGCACTCAACCATATGATATCCCTGTCAAAGTTGAAGTAGAACTTCTTCTCATTTTCTTCTCCGCCGATCTTCCGGCCGTGAAAGGAGAATAATGCGGTAAAGTTCTCCGATGTGAAATTAACGAGTTCTCCACCTTCAAGTGCGATACTGAAGTTTCTGGCTTCTTGGTTGGTGGAGAAGAGCGGTGGGAGTGGCGGTATGTAGCGGATGCGCGGGATGTGGTCGATGGTGTTGTAGGTGTGGAGTTCGAGGAAACGGGTTCGGGGGGCGGGAGCGGCGTGGAACCAGATTAGTGTGCGGACGGCGGGAGGAAGGCCGGTGAATGTTGGGGTAGTGGGGGGTGTTTTTGTTGTAGTCTTGATAGGGTTGGGGTTGGTGTGTAGGTCCACAGTGTCGGTGTCGTTATACTGATCAGACTGCGTGTTGGGAGGCGGTACTGGTGGACTGTTGATGTCGACGCCGCTGTCTTGCGGAGCGTCTTCGCTGTCAATAGACATGGCGCTCGAGCCTAGGCTGCCAAAGCTTTGACCGGGAGAGTCGGTTGTCATGATAGAATCTTCGAATGGCTCTTTCTTCTTCTTAATACTCATCATAGTCCCGAAGGACCTCTTCAGCGATTCGAGCGCCATCCTTCGCGGTTAAGATTGCAAGTTTTGGTGAGTGTTGTGCTTGTGTGTTGGAGCGGTATCAGAACCGGAAGGCTGTAGGCAGCCAACGGCAGAGCTGTTTGCGTCCGTGTCGCGGAGCCAGCTGAGCGTTTGCCCGAGTTGCGGCGACAGTACGCGAGGCAGCAAACGCATCGGTTACATGTGACTCCAGAGTTTAAGCCGCTATTATAGGCGCGTATTGCTGGTTTTGTACCTCTTCTTCACATTCACCTACGGTGCTAAGTATACTGTAAAAGTTAGTCCGAGTGTACCCGAGTCGATGTAGATTCCTTGACTTACTCGAAAGCTGCTATCAGATCATCGCCATCGTACCTACTGACGGTTCTCGGCTGTTTCCAAGGCATTTCATTCGACCTTTTGGCGGCTAGATACTTGTTTGGTGGAGCCATTGGTGTAACGAACAGTTTCACTCCCTCGTAAAGCGACCCATGCACTTTGGCAATGAACTCGTCGAGCGCGTCTTGTGTTAGAAACGATACCCACCATATCATTTTTCTGTCTCTTGCCAAGTTTACATCAATTGCATCGAGACCCACAGCAAGTAACCCATCATGGGGAGCGCAGAAATCCGCTAAACCGTTTGGTGTTTGCAAAGGCAGTTTACTTCCATCCCACGCGGTAATACGCGCGTTTCGTTTCCCACTATATTCATCATACTTCTTGTGTGGGAGACGTGATACGCGGCCAATGCTTGGTTTGGGTAGGTCATGCAAAACCCTTCCAGAAAAGAGTGCGGAAAGAACAGCCAGAAATTTGACGGCATCGGCAGCGGCCCCATGTTTCTGATGCCTGGAGCGCCATCCAATTATTTTCAGAGCTTTCATGACTCGATCTAGACTGGGCTGACGATATCGAGGAAGTAATTTGTCGGGTTCGGCGATTATGCTCTGGTAGGAATCGCTGACAAGCTCTTGTACATCGCACCAAAAAGTGAACAGTGCTGCGATGGCCGGATACTCATCGCTGATCCATTTGAATTCCCTCTGCATGCCAAAACCAACCAATATAAGTTCGCCTGGGAAGGAGGACAAGAACTTGTACAGTCTTGCGCCAGCAGTCTCCTTAGTCTCGTCGGTCATGGTCCCAACAACAGGCCCGTATCGCCGTTCTTGAATGCGAATGGTAAATGCCTCGATCTCGTTCTGATTGTAGAAGTGATACATAGACGAGAAGAAGCGAAGTGGCTTTGAACTAGGTCGTAGTACCGCGACTCCAAGCTCACTCGCCTCTGAACCACGCTGGTGAACTCCTTCTATATCGAATGCTACCACTGTGGCTTCAGCAAGGCGGTCTTGGATGCTAGCAAGGCCTCGAAGTTCCGACTTGAGCAGTGGCTGCACATCGCGGTTCTTGACGAAGCCATAAATACCCTGTTTGTTGGGCTTCATCTTGTATTGTAGACACGGGTTGTTTTCGGGCAGAGGTAATTATCGAGATGTAAGTCCAAAAGATGGATGAGTAATGTTTGGAGACGGCTGTGGGCAGCATACAGAGCAATATAGAGTGGATTTTGTTGCGACGGTGGTACCATGGTTGGGCGTGGCTGACTGAGACCAACAGGACGGCCTTTACACGACGACGAAAATTTCTTGTCGGAGCGACATTTCATTCTTCCACAATGATTTCCGACTTCCAAAAGACCCACGCGAAGACAGCCAAGAGCTTCAGTCCGCAAGCAGTCCACAAGGCACCTGCGAGACCTACACTGCTGTGCGCATACAATCCACCAATGCAGGCTCCCAACAACAGCATCGCGGGTGCAGCGATCCTCCTGTTACGCTCCACGTTCGAAATCTTGAAAAGCTGAGGGTCAGAAAAGAGGTCGCAGTAGTTGCTCGTGAGCACGACACTGGTCAGACCGTTGTACTTCAGGGCGCGCGACGTGACTGCCTGGCCACTGGATTGGAAAGCGACTGAAGCGAGCGGAACAATCATTTGCCAATGAAGGCCTTCTTTCGTGTCTTTCCCGACAGTAGCAATCAATGCAGCGACAGCAATGAGTAGCATCTGGAACGTGTAGGATACGATGAGCACCCATCTCTTGGCTGGCGAGAAGTAGCGATGAAAGCGCGCGAAGCAGAACGAGCCAGCACAGAACGCGACGATGGATGTCAATGCCTTGATCCAACGGATGCCCTCAGAAGGTGCGACAATGCCCAAGCCAAGATACACGGTGTTACCTGCATGTTGAGTAAGCTTCTAGACCAACAGAGATGGCGCTCTTACTCACCCGTCTGCATGCTCACGAAAGAGCCCCATATGAAGACAGCCGAGCTATCCAGTAGCCCAGTAACAATGTAGCAATACAGCAAAACAAGATCTGCCCAGTTCTTGTTAACATCGGCATTCATGTGCCGTTTGAGCCGCTGCATAGTCCCCTTGCTGTCCGATTTTCCGCCGGCTGGTCCATTTCGGCCGAGAAGCGGCGTTTCCTCGTCTGCGCCGCTGCGCGTGGCGTCTCTGCGCGTTACGCTGCTCATGGTTGCACGTGTGGAATGAGATCGTGTAGTCGTATATTGCGAGGGCTGCGAGGACCGGTAGTTATGTCAGTTGGGGCGGGGTGCAGATAATCGCGTCAGCGCAGCCGGGAAGGCGCGAGCCAGCGTGCAGATCGACAGGCACTTCGACTCAAGCTTCAGTTAAGCTTTCGACGCCCGCTGCGGCAATTGCAGGATATCTCAGGACGTGTGGCTTGAAGACCTTCCTGATGTGGCGTTGCATGTACAAGCAATGCGTTTGACGTGCGGGGAAACGGTTCTGGGTGGGTATGGTGCGTGGAAAATTGATGATTGATGCGCAGAGATGGCGTGGGAGTGGATGGTTGTTGCTTAGTGTCAAGCAAGCATCATAAATAATCATGGCTAGACTGTCGTCATCGGCACACGGCATCGCAGGACGCGCAATGCACGCGGCATGTCAAAAGGGCGTCGTCTGCCGGGTGAATAAACTTTCGACTTCGCGATCCTCTTCAGCTTCTTCACTTGAGGTCAATTGAAGCCGTCATGCATCTTCCGTCGTTACTGGTCGCGCTTGGCGTATGTGGTGCCGTGGCTGCGCCATTAGAGCAACAACAACCGCTGGCTGGCAGTGCGCGACACCACGCAGGACCTAACAAAGTCTTCAACCCGTACAAGCCTGGCAACAATGATCCATTTGACAAGAAGATTGATTCGCAAGGCGACAAGCTTCAGCCACTACCCTACGTGAGTCCATCATTGAGACCATTCCTCCGCGGAACGACGAATATCTAGCTCGATAATGGTCAACATGCTAACAAAGTTTCCAGCGCAATGGTGACGGAGCGAGTGTTCTAGGGCCTCGCAACCGAGCGCGCGAACGACAAAACCCAGATCTCGTCCGCCCACCCAGCACCGACCATGGCGCGATCCCCAACATGCGATGGTCCTTTGCCGACTCGCATATCCGCATCGAGGAAGGTGGTTGGACGCGCGAGACGACTGTCCGCGAGCTAGGTACTAGCAAGGAGCTAGCCGGCGTGAACATGCGTCTTGAGGAAGGCGTCATTCGTGAACTCCACTGGCACAAGGAAGCCGAATGGGCATATGTCCTCGAAGGCAAGGTCCGCATCACCGCTCTCGATCCTGAAGGTGGCTCTTTCGTCGATGACCTAGAGAAGGGTGACCTATGGTACTTCCCCTCTGGCCACCCTCACTCGTTGCAAGGCCTGAGCCCCAACGGCACCGAGTTCCTGCTCGTCTTCGATGACGGAAACTTCTCTGAAGACTCTACCTTCCTGCTCACCGACTGGATGAGACTGACACCCAAGTCCGTCTTGGGTGAGAACTTCCGCGTTTCGCCAGAAGTCTTCAAGGCAATTCCCGAGAAGGAAAAGTACATCTTCCAGGGCTCAGAGCCCGGTCCCATCGACGATGAGGTTCCAAGTGGCGGCAAGGGATACAAGAAGTCGAAGATCCAATTTACTCACAAGATGCTTGCTCAGGAGCCTGTCAACACAACTGGTGGTCAAGTTCGCATCACCGATTCGACAAACTTCCCCATCTCCAAGACTGTCGCTGCAGCACACTTGAGCATTCAACCTGGCGCAATCCGCGAGATGCATTGGCACCGTAAGTCACTCACTTACCCATCCGTTATTCCATGCTAACTCTTTACCACAGCTAACGCAGACGAGTGGTCCTTCTTCATCGCTGGCCGTGCCCGCGTAACGATCTTCGCCGCCAAAGGCACAGCGCGCACATTCGACTTCCAAGCCGGCGACGTAGGCGTCATCCCTCGCAACATGGGCCACTTCATCGAGAACCTGTCTGACGATGAGGACGTCGAGGTGCTCGAAATCTTCCGTACAGACAAGTACCAGGACTTTAGCTTGTTCCAGTGGCTTGGCGAGACGCCGCAGAGACTTGTCCGGGAACACTTGTTTGCGAATAGTCCTAAAGAGGCGGAAGAATTTGCTAAGGCTATTCGCGATGCCGAGGAGGATCCTATTAAGGACACAGAGGTCGATGAGGAGGATAAGGAGGAGTTGTAGGATGGGCGTGGTGATGGGAGGCACTGAGATGCAGTAGATGGGAGATGGACTGGATTCTTGACGCTGAAGATGAGGAGGCTGAGCGACTGCTCGTGGGTAGATTTACACTTGTAATACAATTTCGCCACACATACCGAAGCTACAAGTTCGATCAATTTATGCACGTGGGTTCCACGTTGAGGACAGAAGATATGACCACTTCAGTCTTGAACAAGTAACCCACGCGCATCTGTCGGTTGAGGTTGGAGTATTAGTTGGCTCGTCCCAATTCCATGGTCAGATGAACTCATACACATGGTCAGCTTAGCTCTACTGATGGTCAGCTTAGCTCTAGTCAAGGTCAGCCCAGCTCTTAGCGATGGTCGGGTGAACTCTTAGTCTCGATCGTTCGGGGATGACCCTAGCCTGTTAGATCTTAGTCATGGTCTGATGAGCTACTAGTCATGGCCGGATGAACTGCTAGTCATAATCGGGAGAGCTTTCAGCCGTCGGGCGAGCTATGTCCTAGGCCAGCTCGGCTTCCGAGGTCTGTTTAGCTTTGAAAGACAGCTCAACTTTCGAGGACAGCTCAACAGCTCGCATGTTCAGGTTGGCTAAATCCATGGTCGGGCCAAGTATTTGGATGGTCTGTTCAGATTAATTCACGGCCGGATAAGATAGGTCTATGATCAACTAAGATCGTCTATAGCGTCATACGTGGTTTGTTCGTCGCATACTTGCGCGTCTTCACATTGTAGTCAGTGGCTACGTTGCCTCCTTCCTGCAAATCATCAGATATGACGCGTGCTGAGGTAGTAATTCCAAATTTCAAGACATTGACTTAGGCGCAAAACTGCACAACTACAGTATGAGCTTGAGCGCAGCCACAACGCAGCTACCCCGCCGTGCACCTCGTGAATTGCCAGGAGCTCATTGCGCTGACGTAGCCGCTACCATGGCGCGAAAGTACGCATAAAGCGGCAGAGCTTGCGGATGCTAGTATAGCTCGCCAGGCTAGTCGTGGGCGTACCATTTATACGTTCGGCATCTTGAACTTTGTTGATGAAAAACCAAATGCGCAGCAAAACGATCTCGAATGCTGGATCTGACAGCCTCCACGTCTCGGGATGCATGCATCATCCATATCATGGCTATGCCCTGCGACGCATGTGCAAATGCTCTCCCCGCCGTCGTTGAATTGTTGATTGTTATTCCTATTGCGTAACGTCGTTGTTCTGTGCTAGCGGTTCCGCTGTGTGATCGGCCAGCATAACGCCCAGGACACAGGTGAACCATCTCAGGAGTAGCGGTTCAACAGGGTGATCCTTATCATCGCCTCCGCTTATGGGTGCCGCTGTCCGGATGCCAATGCCTGCGCTGCCAGGTGGCTACTGTCGTCGTCGTCGTTTTCGAAGGACGTGTAGGGCATGAAGAGATGCACCGAGTTTGTAGCTATTGTTCAGCAAATTCAATGCTAGCACCTATCATGAGTAGGTTCTAAGCCACCTCGCGCGATGGCGGACGTGCAGGAGGGTAGGATTCGGCTGCATCTTTGTGCCTCGGCGCCTAGTCTCGTGCCCGAGCAGTCAACTGGTCATCCTTCGCAAGTCTACAAGGAACCATATAGGAACACATTATAGTTGAGGTTCTTCGGCGGTAAGCTGACTTGGTCAGACGCAGGTTATGCGTGATGGACCCAGCAGGTCAAAACGGCGGTTCGGTCTTTTCGTGGTGCCCGAAATAATTAATGACGCGCACGCTGACGCAACCATAGGTATCATGAATAATATTCTGCCGGTGAATTTTCAGGAGGTGGGTGATTCGGATGTGATTATGTTTTCGAGGTGTGGGAGTGGCGAGCGAAGGGCGGGGGCATTGCGAGTAGAAATGGCTTCCGTC